AGTGTGGGTAGGTGAGCCTCCCTGAAGAACATAAGCGAAGAGCATTATTATTGCTGTTATTATTATATTATTATTATTGTGTGTTGTTGCTGATATCAGTGGATATTCAAGTTTGCATGTTCAAATGGTCCAGTAATGAGAAATGTATGTTAAGATGCTTTGTTTTCGGATGTCTGCCTTTCGCCATTTGAAATTACTTCAGGGACGTGTTTCTCTCGCTCTTCGTCTCTTGTGTGTTGGTTTGAAGTCTATCGTGCTGACGTGACCGATTTGATTGGCTGAGTAGCGTCACCTCCTTGAAAACATTAAGACAATAACGTTTTTAAAACTTTTAATTTTTAGTTTTAAATGATTGATACAAATCCAGCTAAACTGTGGACTAGTTCCTTGCACCCCTAATAATGAACCTGAATGGTCTCCCAACCATATTGCATCAGTAACGTGCACTTGTTTTTTATTATGAACAAGATTCGCAGAGGACGCTGGTAGCGTCGGAAATATGAGGTGTTGTTCAGTTTGTGTGTTTGTGAAACAAATGCGTGTCCGTGCATGAAAAATATACACACCACCCAATTATCAATGCATGTTTCAATTCACTACCCTGGAAGTTAATACAGTTGTTAAACGTTGGAACCAGCCTTTGACAGCGTTCTTCCTTGCATGTCAGTCGCCTACACCTTCTTACAGAGGACAGTGGCACATCTAGCGTGCAGCATCGACCCGTATATTTCCCGCACGGCGCGTGTTCCAAAGACATATATTCTTTTTAACATTTTTCAACATGTGGATACAATGCTTAATATGCCCCGGCAACACACTTGAGCGTCAACTTTGCCTCCCTTATTACACTCACCCTACTTTAGAGTGGGAACAATGAGTCTGCGTCTTTGAATGCACACCAGGAATACCAACGTCAGATCATCCTCTGGACTGCAGCCTCTACCGCACTTGCTTTGATCAAAGTCAATGCGAAACCTGCACTTCCACACAGGTAGGTGGAGGGGAAGGGAGTGAGTCACTTTTGAGCGCAGCCTTTTGGCGAGGTGGGGAACTCACTGTCCACGACAGGCCACAGGTGGGCAAGGGTCACTTTACTCGGTCTTTTCTTGTTCTTATTGTGTCTCACGGCTGCGCCTTCCCCTGAAGCTCCTCCGGCGCCACCCCAGGGAGGCGCGCCTCACACTTTGAAACGCTGCTTCTAGGCACATTGATCTATACATGGATAACTAACAAAAACCTCTATTTTGGTCTTGCAACAGAAACAAATACCTGAAATACGTAAACAGTAGAGAAGAGCATGTTAATCTATCTCTCTCTCTGTGTTAAGAAATACATACAGCAGGCCTAAAAAACCATCTCAATGTCCTGAAATCTTAAACATAAAACACAAATATAAGTACAAGGAATACAATAAATGAGTAGAACACTCAAATTAGACACTAGACTCAAATGGGTCATATGAACAGTCTCTCAAAGTAATAATGATATACAGAGGTCCAATAGGCATGCTAACATCTCTCTCTGTCTCGGTCTCTCTGTCTCTCTCTCTCTGTTAAGAAACACATAAAAACAAGCAGGCTAAGAAATCACTATCCCCTGATATAATGCTGCAAAACACAATTCAATATATTTAGGCGGGTCCCTACCATATTCTCAAGCAGGCCTCCAAATGTTCATCAGTTAAGGTGGAACGGTATTTCGACTTCACTACCTTCATTTGGGAGAAGGCTGGCTTGCATAAATAAGTCGAGCCGAAGAGTGAGTTCAGTGAGGTGGCACATTTTCTGACGTTTGGATACTTTTCAACTGAATAAGTTCCAAAGCTGTCCGGCATGGGCACGCGACTTCAACTGAATGTCGGCCTGCAGCGACAACATCTCATCCTCCAGCACAGACGGGTTCAGGTGAAACACTGCTCGGATGTTTTGGGCCAGCGAATCAATATCATGGTCTTCACTAAACGGATAGCACATGAATGTGGCGATTGGATCGGGAAGCGTTTTTCGAAGTCAGATGTAATGTTATTGACTTGCTCTGTCTAGCGCACACTTTCAAGGAGCGCACTGTCCTTCCCTTGCTTCTCCAGCTCAGAGGCGATGTTTTGGAAGTTGGCCAAATCTTTGCGCTGCAGCTTTGAACACAGCAGATGCAGTCTTCGTTTGAAGGCATTAACTGAGCTGATCATGTCAACCACAGTTCTGTCTTTCCCTTGTAGCTCCAAGTTCATCTCATTTAACATGTGTGTTATGTCTGTTAAAAACGCCAGATTTAACAGCCACTCCTCGTCATCTAGACCAGTGTCTACTATTTCTGTTTTGTTTGTGTAATCCCGAAACAAGGCGTCTGCTGCTTCTACGAAGGCTTCTTTCACCATCTCCATCTTGAAATGACTTGTAGCGTGACTCACTCGTAGAGATGCTTCAGTGGCTGCCTTTGTGGTGGATGTCGGCTTTAAGATAAGTGACTGCTGTCCAGCTAATTGTGATTTAAGTTCCCTCACCTTTCTCTCTCTCAACTCGCTACTCGGAGGGAAGTCGCTATCATATCCCTTGTGAACACTCCGATAATGCCTCTCCACGTTACCTTTCTTTGGCAGAGCGACGCTTGCTTTACAAATAATGCAAATAACCTTTGAATGTGACATCACAAAAAAATATTCTTCCTCCCATTCTGGGTGGAAGTGGTATGTTTTTAGCTTTTTGCTCGGTCCCGCACTAATTTTGTTGTTTGTCTCTTGTTTGCCTCTTAATTTGAGTTTTCCCGGCACTTGACTGATTTTGTATCGCTTTGCATTCTGGGTTAACAGACTGGAAAGCGATAGGTCGCTTTTTCTGTCAATCAAGTAAACTCCTGAATTAAGTGGCAGGGAGGCCAAGGGAGGAGGGATCGTTTATTTTAACGGAACTGGATTTTCTTTTTTATGAAGGACTCACGATCTACCAGCATTGCGGTCGACTGCGGTCGACGTACTGGGCACCTCTGAGCTAAGCTATATTTGCTTCTGTGACAGCTTACCTCACTGGTCCCCTGTGTACAGCAGAGCCACCTACCGTCTGTGAAACCTCCTCCTGACTGCAGAACATCTCTCATTATATGTGTTATTATGTTTTTTATCTGATTATCTAATCATATGCACCGTCCGCTAGAGTCTGTTGATATGATCTCCTGATTAACAGAAGCATGAAAATAACCTGATGATACTCCATGGTGGGGGCTACGGTAGAAATGGCCGGGATTTGCGTTTTTACCCGCTTAATGTCTGACCAATTGTTGAACAGCACTTCTGTGCACATTACTTTTGTTTAGTTTATAGTCCGTTTGAGTTTTGCGCCTGTGAACGCAAACCGAACCTTCTGAAAAATGAATCAATGTAACAAACTGTCGTCTGGTGCGAACCAAAGAAACGGGCTAATATGTGTGAATGCGACCTACATTTTATTTCTACAGCCATTACAAGCCTCTTGCATACTGGAAAAAGCTTACGAAATAATTCACAGAGTACTATATTTGGTATAAAATGCCAGATAAGTGTAATATTATTCATTAAGATTTTGTGTGTAAGCTTAAATAATTTCAAAAAACAGCTAGTGAGCATAATTCACATTGTCAGATGCTAGCGTTAGCTGTAGCTTCTAGCTAATTAACATTACAGCCTGTCTCTTTGAGCCTCCCTCCCAAAAAAGTGTTTGGTATCTCTGCCATGTCATGCCAAGGAATGACTAGTGGTGAACTGTATGGGTCATGGAGACTACGTCCGTGTTTTATAAAATGTTAACAAGAATTTTTTTAATCACACAAATGGCACCAAAAGACAACTCTTGTCTTTGAAATAAATTTCTCAAGTGACATGTATTTATCTTCAGTCTTGTAATGAGGTAGAAGTGTGATAGCAACCTGATGGTTACAATTTCTGTTGCTCCAGGTGGGGACATTTTGACAGGAACACAGTGCAGCGATTATAAAACAGTTTCAAAATTGATTCAGTGATCTCCAGAGAGGACATTTAGAAATTATAATTCATTTCTTGTAAGCCACTGGCTGTGCCAAAACAACCAAGCTTTGAAAGGCTATAAACAGAGCCGGGCAGCGCAGCACCGAGGGAGTGGAGAAAAAGTTCAGCGGGCCCAGCCAGCATCCCAATATTTCACTGTTTTATCTAACCACAGAGCTGTGAATCATGAGGAAATCTTCTCGCCAAGTGACTGGATAGACCTCCATGAACTACGCCAAAGACTCCCACAACCAAAGGCATTCCTTCCTTTCCCACTTCTCTCCTTGGCGTGTACAGCTAATTATCATCAGGCCCAATGGTGGTCATGAGGGGGAAAGTGTTCGTGCAGAAAATGGCTACCACACTTTTCAGTGGGTCGCGCTTTCCACGCTTTGTGCTCAATGAACGAGAGTGTGGGAGATCGCAGGGTCCACTGGAGGGAAGGAAGGCTTCGTGCATTGCATGAAAGTCACTGAAGCATAATCAGTCATCCCGCAAAGTACAGGAACATGCCCACTGTTAAGTTGTTTACATATCCTGATAATGACTCCGGAGTAGGTAGTAAGAGCAAATCAATGCACGGAGAGGGAGAGATTTAGGGTGCTGCAGCCTCTGATGTAGCCCAGGCTGACAGAACATACCCGTATGATGGATTAGTGCAGCTGGCAAATTACATCTCTCTAATTATGCTTTTCAAAGTGCGTTACGATGTATCACTGTTTGCTTTAATCTCGGCTAAACACAGGGCTGATGCTTTATCGAGAAAAAAAGAAAAGTGCTTCAGCTCAATTCTTGGGAATTCATTTTTAATTTGTAGAATTAGAGGTATTTGAAGATTATTTTATTTTATCAGAAGCTTTTTTGTACATCTGGACTTCGTAACATTGTTTTTCGTTGACCCGTCCAAAACAAACAAAACAGTAATTATTACGTAATCTGTATGTTGTTAACATCCATCACCGTTGAGGGATTTTGGGTCAAAGTTGAAACAGGAAGTGGTTCCTGCTTCAGCTTGACACGCTGTACCGGTTAGACTTCAGTATGACTCAAACTAATTTATATTAACACAATGTCATCCAAACACTTCAAATGTGTTTATAACTAAAGACCTGCTCAGAAGCGGGGCTAAAACCTGCAATCACAGTTGATGATTTTGAATTGCACATTCGGGGATACAGCACACACTTTCAGTCACTCCTTGATGGCATTCATGGCGTTGCACTTGGTTGTTCACATGAAAACTGACGGAATGGGGTTTTTGTTAGAATGAAAAAAGAGCCGCACCTCAATATCTGATAGACATACAGCCAGAGGTGGAAATAGTAGTCAGATTTTGTACTTAAGTAAAAGTACAAATACCAGAGAGTGGGAATACTATGTTACAAGTAAAAGTCCTGCATTCAAAATCGAACTCAAGTAAAAGTACAAAAATATTAGCATAAAAATATACTTAGAGTACCAAAAGTAAACGTATTAATTATGCAGATTGGTCCATTTCAGAATAATATATTATATGTTTTGATGATAATTATTGTTGCATTAAGTGTTATCAAAGCTAGTAAAGGTGCAACTAGTTTTAATGCCTTTATTTACTGCTGTGTCATTTTGGAATATAATCCAGATTCAACTAAAGTCTTGTATACATTTTGATTATGATAAAAACATGAATCCAAATCTGGAAATTATCTAAAGAAATGAAATAAATGTAGTGGAGTAAAAGTACAATATTTACCTCTGGATTGTACAGGAGTAGAAGTACAAAGTAGCATAACATGGAAATACTCATGTAAAGTACAAGTACGTCAACATTGTAATTAAATACACTACTTGAGTCAATGTACTTAGTTACTTTACACCACTGCATACACCTAATCCACACTGTAACTGGTTAGATTCTGGCTTTTGTTGGGTGTCATATACAACTCCTCCTATACTGCGCAATAAATTCAATTATACACATGAAGATGGTAAATGGACTGCAATTATGTAGCACTTTTCCAGTCTTTGCACCTACTCAATGTGCTTCAACATCAGCAGTCACACAGTGACAGATGCTCAAGGAGATACTTCATTCACATACTGTTGGCCATCTTGCCCAAGGATATCGACTTGTTGACTGAATGGGCTAGGAATCAAACTATTTAATTGTTTAACGACTTCTTAGCCCCACAGCCACAGCTTGATAGAGAAATCTAAACCCTGAAGAACTTCTCACAGCCAAACAGCTGACTTGAACCCTAGGATAACAGCTTCAAGATGAAGAAAAACTACAGATTACAACTTTGTATATAATTATGTGTGGTCCTCAGTACAACATCTGGCCACTTGTTAAAAAATCAGGCAAAGGCCCTTTCGGAGAAATCGTGACAACAGCAGCAGCTCTGAATCCCATTATTTTAAACGGCATTGTTTCTTATGTCTGAAAGGGCTTTAACAGGGCAACAAGTTAAGGGGTCTGACAATCACACAGGTTGTAACCCAAATTCAGTGCAAACCCTCTCGGTAGGTATTTAATTGTAGAAAAGAGTAACAAGTCAGTTTTGTTATTTTTGCAGCAATATTTAATTAAAATGTGCCTATATTAGCGTTTGCAACTATTAGCTCTTGAGTTATTCAGTGACGAAGTATTTCTTTAGGCCAACTTACAAAAATACTGTTTAACCAGTTTAGCCCTAAGCCTGTTTTTCAGGTCTCAGGCTCGAAAATGACATTCCCAGAACAAATGACCATATCTTCCCTTCTAAAAGGGTTACATTAATAATATTTTTTCTCAAAGAAATGATAAACTTGTGAGTTGGATGTAGAAAAGTCAGAATCAATATAGATGTTTTTTATTTTAAAGAAAATTCCGATTGAACATAGTAAAAAACTTTAAATTATAAAAAAAAAATGAAATGGGGGTTTTACCGTTTCTCTGGAAACCATTGGTCGATTTTGGTGATTGACATCTCTTTCTGACCGTTAGAGCCAATAGAATAGAAGGGGAATCTCCCCACACACACACATGGTAAAACAAAAAGGTGGGTGCTTCGCGGACGCAGCTTTGCATGAGAGTGAAGCTATAGAGCTATAGCTCTCGCTCTGACATCTGCAAACCGAAAAGCGGGTTTATTGCTCATGGATTATCAGAAATCATTTCAAAGGGACACAGACACATTGGATTAACCTATGGATTAACCTTCAGCAGCGTTTTTATCGTTTTAATGCCATTGAAGACCACTTTTGACCAGACAACAACACAGGTGAGCCATGTTAGCGTTTTTAGCTACCGAGCGCCATATATTTTGATGTCTGTTCTTGTTAGTACCTCCGGAAATTCGTATAATTGAGTGATTATGAGGGAACCCCTCGATTCTGTGTCACCTCACGATGTGAAACGATGTGTTGGATGTGCAGCAAAGATAAATAATAAGGTTTTGTGAGTGAATTTCGGTGCTGTTGGTGAATCATCTGTTAGCATTTTTTGCTCGTTGCTAATTCAGAGGCTCAGCGTTAGCATTGTGGGGTTTTTTGAAAAGAAAAATTAAAAAGATGAGTTTCTTCCCGTTACATTGATATAAAACATTCATAGTTTATTAAATGAACATGCCCTCAGACACTGTTTCCTGCAAGATGTTGCGGCAGTACCCCGGTACCGGGGTCTCTCGGGCTTAACAGGTTGAAGGTCACCTATTATGCAAAATCCACCGAGGAAATCGATCCAAAGAGCCCTTCCGTAGACACGGGGGCTCCCAGGAGATCAACAGAGAGAAAATAGAAAAAGGATAAACTCCATGTCTCCTTAGAAATCCTTCATGCTTGCCTTTCCGACTACCAGACGGCAGTCAAAGCAGCCAAAACAGAGCATATTTATCTGTTAATCTCCAAAAACAGCCATAAACCTCAGGTTATTTTTAATGTCCTCAACTCGATCATTAATCCCTGTGATGTTTCTCCAATTGGGCCATCGACTACTCTCTGTGATACATTTCTTACATTTTTTATCGAAAAAATATCTGCGCTTAGGCTAGCCCACACCATTGCTACCCCAGATTCTGCTCCTTTTCTGTGCCATGCTGTCCTCGACCACTTTGAGCCTGTATCCCTCTCTTCTCTCTCGGATGTAGTCTAGGGCGGTGGTGGCGAAGTTGATAGGGACTTGGCTTGGCAACTGGAAGGTCAACAGTTCAAGTCCCAGCAAGACCAAGTGCTACCGAGGTGTCCCTGAGCAAGGCACCGTTCCCTACACTGCTCCCCGGGCGCCGTACAATACGGGCAGCCACCACTGCTTCCTAAACACTGAATCGGTCAAAAATGCCAGAGAACCAATTTCCCCACAGGGATTAATAAAACGTTAATGAAGGGAGGAGAGAAAGTGAAAAGGAGTAAGAACAGCGAAAACCTGCGGACAGAACAACTCGCAACTCGCTAAGACAAAGCGAGGCCGCCCCTCGCATCCTTAGACGATGATTTTTGAATCAGTTGGAGCAAGTGTTTTATTTGCTTATATAACACATCTCTCTAGCTCATGATGTATTCCCAGGCGCCTTGCAAACATGCCGTGGGGGTTGCAGCCACTAAACTTAAGAAAGAAAAGATCCCGACCCTGCCATCCTCTCGCCAATGTTTAGCCGCACTCTCGCGAGCGTTTGTATCTAAAAGTCGCTGGAGCGAGTATCTAATGTCCAGCGTACAGTCGTTCTTGGAAGCCACACATGTGCATCCACTATAAAGTTTCAAGTCTGGCTTTCAAACCCATAGCACAGCATCTGAAAGCAGCCGCTTTAAGAGTTATTAATTATCTTGCTCTTAGCCGCCGACGTCAGGTAGCCAGCTTGTCCTTGGTCGCTGTTAGATCTGACAGCTGCCTTTGACATGCTGGACTCGCTATTATAGCCATACTGTTGTCCCAGCTTGACATACGCAGGCCATCCCAAGGGCTCGGCCTTGCATGGTTTCAGGTGCCTAACTGACAAGACCAGCAGGCCTCTCAGTGCAGTTGGGTGCTCTTCTCCTCTGCTTAAAGCCCTCTTACTCATGTGGGGTTCCCAAGGCTCGCCCATCCTTTCTTCTACTGTACATACGGCCCTAGGTTTAATTCTCACAAAAATAAATCCCTCTTCACTTTGTTGCGAGCTTACGGACCGTACAGACGTCTATCTGCCTACTCAATAGCAAAGGTCAACTCACGAGAGCAGATTGATGGACTGTGCTTAACATGAGATTTTATAACCACTTCTGTCCAGTTGAATGGTTAGTGACTTCGATGCGCTTTTAAATTTGATTAAGGCAGGTCATGCACCGTAGTCAAGACCTGCTTTTTTTAAATACGACTAATTGCCAAGACCAAAGTCGTTTTTTAATCTTTTTAAAGACCTAGAATGGGTTATCTAACGCCTTTGTTACTCGAGAGGATTATTGCAACGCTCTGTATGTGGGTATGGACCAGGCCTCAATTAGTACGCCTGCAGCTAAGTCCAGCAACTCAGCTACACGATCTTCTCACTGCCATAAAAAATGCGTAGACCACATAAACCCCCCAAATTCTGCCCTCATAACTGGTTCCCATTCTTCCGGTCTTTCAGAATAGAGATTTTAAACTCCTTTATTTATGTTTCAAAAGCACAAATGAGCTGGCCTCCGGCCTATATACTATATAGACCCGCCAGGGCCGCCCCTCCCTACAGGCCATCACGCGCTGCAATGGGCCCCCGCCTTGCTTAGGCGGCCCCAGACCCAGAGGGACTCATCACACCAAATCTGTTGTTGCCAGTTTCCGCACAGTTCTCCGCGCACCCCCCGCTGACCGCGAGAGGTGACAATGGAGGCCGTCTGTAATCTCCGACACCGTTGCGAATGAATCGACATCTAACCAATCACGGCTTTGATAGGCTCACGAGTGAGGAGGGCAAGAGATGTCCCGTGGAAATACCACGTTTCTCCGTCCGGCCGCAAGCACGAGGAAAAAAACATCATATATACATTTGAAGAAACTAGAGGAATCAACACTCCGAAGCCCGCTGGTTATTGTATGAGTCAAATGCACACTTGCGANGGATCCCTCTCCCAGGACGGACAGACGTGCAATAGATGCCGTGTGTAAATTGAAAAGATAATACATTTGCAACATAGGTAGACCAAATGTTTGGAAATTCATGTGAATTTCCAAACATTTGGTCTACCTATGTTGCAAATGTATTATCTTTTCAATTTACACACGGCATCTATTGCACGTCTGTCCGTCCTGGGAGAGGGATCCCTCCTCTGTTGCTCTCCCTGAGGTTTCTCCCATTTTTCCCTTTAAACTGTGAGTTTTCTCTGGAAGTTTTTCCTTGTACGATGTGAGGGTCAAAGGACAGAGGGTGTCGTATTGTCATACTGATATTCTGTACAAACTGTGAAGTCCACTGAGACAAATGTAACATTTGTGATATTGGGCTATATAAATAAACATTGATTGATTGATTGATTGATTGATTGATTGGTTGGTTGATTGATTGATTGATTTCTGCATTAAAGCAGTTTAACGTATCTTTAATATTACTGAAGAACCTCAGAGAAAGATCTTGCAGGTAATACAGTTTTTTACCATGGTGTACTTATTGGTTTTTGGTTATTTGTTCATGTGAGCAGTATACAAGTATACTCTTTTTCCATTTTTCTTTCCACCTTTGCTGCTGCAATGACGTAAATGTTCCCGCTGCAGGACGAATTAAGGAATTCACATTCTGAAATATACCCTTTATCCTCTGGAGCCAAACAGCAGGACGATGTAAATATCTCTAAGCCATGTTGCTCAGTTTGACACAGCATGTCACACACTGGTATTAAAACAAAGCACAGACATGCTGTGAAGCCGGGGGGGTTCCGTGTATATTTACCTTCTTGTCTTTCTCTGAGCCATCAGTGAGGAGGATGCCTCTCTGCATGTGGCGGTACAAAACCTTCTGTATGGCAGACATGTCGCATTTGACGACATACTCCACCTGTGTTGAATGACAATAATAAAGAATGCTTCAGTGAAACAGTGGTGCCTTCTCAGTGGCAAAGATATTTGGAAGTAATTGAAAACAAGAAAAAAAGGCACATTATATACATTTACAACTGGTACGACCTCTAAAGGTCAAATTAATTGTATTTAAATTGTTAGATTATTAAATTATTTAAAGGCTTTTTTAAGAAACTGGTTCTATTTTCCAACAGTAATTGATGTAGTTCTTCTTAACGTCAGCTATCTGTGATGCCAAAGGCAATGCTGGATACTTTTGTCTGTCCAATTCTCTGCCCTTTATAATTCTCTTCAAAGAAAGTACACTTTGATTGGTTTTGCTGCTGCTCAAAGTTCAGTTCTTTAAGTTCAAATGAAGTTCTTAATGTCATACGCTCAGTGGAGCAGTCTTTGCCAATACAATTCTTAGATTGCAGGCTGCCTCCAACAGCGCTCTTACAGATTTGTTTAACAAAGTATCACACAAATTCATTTGGAATTGAGAAGTTCCTACATGAAACTGCTTCCAACAAGGTCCGTCAATAATATAACTTAAATATTACATAATTTGAGGATAAGTAACTGGGTCATGATTTCTAAAAATACATTTCTATTTCTGCTAGAACGTAGTTTTGGCGACAGAAGCACAAGCTGAGTGCCTTCAACTCTTCAATTTTAGATTTGCAGTGCTACTGGTAGGAGAAGAATATTAATTTTTGGGGTAAATTTTCCCTTTAAGATGCTTCTGGAAAACAGCACATCTTACCTGGAATAAACTATCTATATGAAAGCAATTAGGGCAAACATTGTAACGTAGGGTCCCTTATGGTCCTTGTGGCTCAAATTGCGTGCGTCATACACCATAACCACCCTGGGCTGACAGACCACCGAAGTGCAGCCCAAAGTATGTGAGAAGGTTTACTGTTTTAACCATTATTCAGATGGATATGAATTGTCTGGAATTACAGGAAAACAAAGGCAGCCGAATAGCGTTGGATGGGTAAATGTGCATTAATGTAATGCCAGACAAATGCAGACCCACTATTTTAATATGAATGAATGTTATGTTGACTGAAGCAGTTTGAGCATGAATCATTTGCTTCTTGTATTAAGAAACCAGGGCCGCCAGTGGACAAATACGGAAGCAGGATTTCGTTCAAAATATCAATATCAATGACACTCAAGTGGTATGGATTTAACCATTTGGTAGGTCGTATGTTTTATTAGATCAAATTACGTTAAACTGTAATCTCACCTTCTCTGGCAGCTGGGACTCCACCTCTTTCTTCAGTCTGCGAAGCAGGAAGGGGCGGAGCACCTTGTGCAAACGTCGGATAATCAGGATGGTCTCCTCCTCATTTAGGTCGACCTAGAGAAGACAGAATGAAAAATGACAGAACATTACAGCATGCTGTGTTTTATAAACTGGGCAGCAGGATTCAGAATCACATTAACACTAAATTAAAACCCCAGGACCACCTGATATACAAAGAAGACAATTGTTTCTCACTCACTTTTTTGGTTCTGCTCCATATTCACAATATATCTTCATAAAACACCTTTCTTTTCATTTTTTTTCCTTGTTCTTTTTGTCATGTCACACAATGTATTAAGTCATGTCTTATATCACCTGGTAAGTCTTGATTTACTAAATACAAAAGCTTTCAAAAGATGTACCCATTGATGTTTAGTACAGGTATTATACAACCCATGTTTTATAGGCAATAAGGCTAAGTACTCCCGGGGAGGCAGAACATATTTTTTAACCTGTGCAAGCTGCTTTCCTGATGGGAAATTACATATTTTTTAGATTTGATTAGATTAGATTCAACTTTATTGGCATAGTACACCGAAATGCAGTTTGCATAAGGTTAAAATGTATGCACATATTGATTACAATATCACAGTTGTTGCAATTGTGAGGAAAGATACAGACACTTTTATATGAATATGAAATAAATGTAGAAATATAAAATAATGATTTAGAAAGAAAGGTGCAGGGTTAGAGGGATGGGTGCGTAGTAATCAGCAGCGAACCGCTTCGACACGTGTATTTCGGTTTATTCACGGCATTCTTTTTGTTATTCTACACTATTATTGTTTTATAGTTATTTGTTAATGTATACAACCCAATTTCAATTCTTTGAAATTGAAAAGGATATCGCATTGTGTGTGTTACTTTCGTTGCAGTTGTATATGTCTTAAGTGTAATTTGGCTTGGCTTCCTATTTTGTATGGACATGCTTTTATTTTGAAGGAGAGTTATCGCTGTTGACAGGAAGTTGTTGTTGCTATGGAAACAACGTGAGGAGATTAATGGAGAAAAAGTAATATCTACATATAAAGACGGAGAAAGTAAACGATAACGTTTATGGTTAAGTGTTAGCACCCCCCGAAGAGACACAAGCTCTTACGTTGATATTGGAGATTGCAATAAATAAAATAAAAACGAATATCCGAATAACGAAATTGAAACCTGAATAGTACTCCAACAAACGAATATTCGGGTACAGCCCTAGAGCATACATAAAAGTAAAACAACAATTCAACTTTGTGATATGTGAGTCTTGTACTAGGAATAAACCCCGGACATACGAAATTAGTGCATTTGCAGAAAATCTATATGACCCACATCCACCTTCAGATGTTAATCTTACAGCAAATGGAACAGAGTTAAGAAAGCAGGCAGTATTTTGTCGTACGTACCCTCTCTCCTGTCATGGCGAATGGGGCGTTGAACCACTGCTCGAAGGTGTTGCAGCTCTTGAAGATGGTGGGCAGCAGGAAGTTGAGCAGGGCCCACAGCTCGGGCAACTTGTTCTGCAGGGGGGTGCCGGTGAGGAGGAGGCGGCGCGGGGCCACATAGTGAGTGTTCAACACCTGGGTCAGCTTACAGTGGTGGTTCTTCATCCGGTGACCCTCATCCACAATCATGTACTTCCAACGAATCTGTATGAGGGAGGGGAGTTATAATACCCTTATCTTTACACTTTGAAACAGTGAAATATTTTCAATTAAAACACTATTGATCGCAAAGTTTGATTTTCTGCAACGACTACCTTAGGGTGCAACACTGCTGCATACAAATCAGAAGTGTCTCCTTCCCGATCTCATTTCATATGGTATTAAAAAGGTTTAAACCAAAACTTTTTAGATAGACGGACAGACAATCATACTTTTATTTCAAATTGAAAAATGACTTTGTCACAACAGCATTTTGAATCTACAAGAATTACAAAGAAAATTAAAACATTTAAAAAAAATACAAAAAAAATAAAGATAGACATTTAACATTTTAGAATAAAAAGATATATATATATATATATATATACACATGCTCTAAGACCTATATTCAGAGGAGTATCTCACATTATAGAATACACAGAATAAATTAGAATATTCTCTAATATACCAATCTACAAAGTGTACTATATACATTAAAAGATGATGTACTGTTGCTTGAAATTAAGAGTAAAAAAGGGATTTAAGCAAATAAAAACAGCAAATGTTATGCTTAGAATGAATTATTTCAGATACTTACCACCAAAGTTTATTAGACTAACGGCAGTTTTATAAAATGTACCGGTAGTACAAATACAAAGCTTTCTGAATTCAAAAACTGAAAATGCTCCTGAAATAAAGTCATTCAAAGGTCTACTCAGTTGCCAATATTGACTGCTGAAATAAGTGTGTGTATAAGTGAGTGTGTGTAACATCTTTGTCTATGTAAACAGCTTATCTCGCATAATACTCAGCCAATCAGCCTTAGATTTGTGCCTTAGCTTTAAATTAGCTAATTTATCACTGTATGATCAAAATAAACAAGAAACAAAACAACTTTATTGCCTATTTCACACTGTCATTGTCTGCTGACCATAAAACCACACACACAGCTGAATACGCAACCTGTTGTTGTTCTATCAACTCGGTAATTAAGTGGTAAGTTGGTGGTGGTTTGTTCCTCCCTAGTTTGAATAAAATTTGTTTCACAGGTTTATTAAGGGAAATGTGTGTGAAGAGTTCATTTATGGACATTTTCTAAGTTTAGAGAGGCTAAAACAGCTGATCTCCCTGCTGAAACTACACAGCACCACCATTAGTTACAGTGCTTTTCATATACTATACCTTATACCTATAAATAAACATTTCGCTTTTGGGATGGTTAACATTCAATGTAGGACGGTTAAATGTTTGTAGGGGCTGTTTTGCCACTAAGGTTAGATACAGATTTCTTCTGCTGTGTTAGACCCAAACAACACTCACTCTTGATTTAGGTACTTGCTCTGTTATCACCATGTCCTTGAATTCAGCAGTAAAGTGACTTTCAAAGTATTTCTGGCACTTTCCTGATGAAGTGTCAATCATTTAACCACAGATAAGAAAAGCTGTAGAGAAAACGTTTTAATAAATGTATATAAAAGAAGATATATCTGTAATTGGTGTGGGACAGTGTGGGTTTGCATTAGTACGAAGGGCGAAAATGGCAGATAGAATGCAGGCGAGAAATTGTAGAGATGAAAAAAGCTTTGATCTGCTTCACCTTGGCCAGTATGTTCTTGTCCTTGATGATGTATTCATAAGTGGTCAGCAAGACGTTGAACTTCCCACTGCGAAGTTGAGGCACAAGCCCACGGCGCAACACAGGGGTCCCCTACCACGGGATAGACACAAAGAAAGTTTAGACAAAAGCAATCAAATGGGGGAAAAAGGAAAAGTCACATAAAAAACTGACTTTTACCTTGTAAGCAACCTTAACCACAGAGGGGGACCACTTGTCAAGTTCATACACCCAGTTAGACAAAGTCCTGGGGGAAGAAAAAAATAAATCACCACACAATTTTACACTGAAGCAAGTGGTCTTCATTAAAGAGCCAGAACATGTAATGTGATCACACATTAAAAAGGGGAATCATTCAAATGTAATCAAGGTTAAGACATCATTTGCTGGATAATCTTTAAAAGAAAAGAAAATCCCTTGAAGTGCAAAATATTTCAAAAGGGTCAAATAGATGCCGCTCACAATGTGAGTGGACTTTGTTTTACATTCAGCCCCCCCAGGCAGACCAATCTCTCTCCTCATTAACTTCAATTTCCCAACACACAACTACGAGTGAAAGAGGCCGAGTTTAAGGCTTTCCTCCACATCAGTTCCTTGTGCACATTAAAGAAGCACATTTAACACAAAGGCTGAGCTCAAGCCTCTGCTGTGCACAGTTTGACTACAAACAGCAACCCCTCAGTAATGATTAAAAAAAGGGTGGTGTGCAAAAAGAAAAAAGTGTTCGTTCTAATCCTAGCAGTAAATTATCATGAAAAAATAAGTACTAATGAGGGGAAATGTTTAAAGAGGCTGAACATAACCCAGGAGCATTAACCCAATTACATGATGTTTTTTGGGGGGAGTGGGGTTGAAACAAGCGTAAGCCTGGTCCACCTTAGAGAGGTGGTCCCCTGCTGATCCAAGCTGTTTGAGTTGGTTTGTATTTGATTCATTTAAATGGATTAATTGTGGGAAAACAGCAGGAGGGAATCAAACCTTTTCCCATTTAAATGAATGCTTGAAGGGATTCCAATATCTGTATTTAAAACAAAAGAAGGTGGGGAATAGCTAAATGAAAGGATAGCTGCAAGAACAATATTGACCTAACTTTGTGATGAAGTGTATAGGTTGGAACAATTTAACGGGTCCTTAGTTTTGCAATTTGTTTTAGCTAGAGGGTTTGCTTAAGTTTTGTGAGCACAAATAAGCAGAAAACCTCCAAACTTGTCCAATCCAAAGATTGTAGTTGACATATTCGTAGATTCATCTTCTTATTACAGACACATGCATTTCCTAACATTTGGACTACCTATGCTGTAAAATGTATTATCTCTTCGATTTACACACGGCATCTATTGCACGTCTGTCCGTCCTGGGAGAGGGATCCCTCCTCTGTTGCTCTCCCTGAGGTTTCTCCCATTTTTCCCTTTAAACTGTGGGTCTTAAAGGTACCCTATTGGGCCTTTTGGGGTTTTCCCTTTGCTGTAGTGCAGCGGTATTCAATAAAATGTCCTCCCATCAAAGGTCCAAACACTATGTCCGTCAAATAAATTAAAACACAGTATATTCCCTTACCATACAAATGTTCCAAGTACGATACTCTTAACATACAATAAATTGTGGCACTTGAAACCAATATAAATGAAATTAGTCCTATAGCTAGTACCTTCCTTTTGTGTATTAGAAAAAATCGCAAATACACCAGAACCTGGTTATTATCCGATACAGCTGTAGACTCATCAATGGCTAAGGATATGCATTCCATTACATTATATTGCGTTTAGCTGACGCTTTTATCCAAAGCGACTTACAATAAGTACATTCGACCAACAAGATACAAACTTGAAGAAAACAGAATCATAGTACATCAGGTTTCATAGAGCTAAAACATTTCAAGTGCTACTCAACTGGCTTTAGATAAGCCAGTCCTTTATTAGTATATAAGTGCTTTGTTAATAATTCTATCGCTCAAAGTGGAGTCGAAAGAGATGAGTTTTCAGTCTGCGCCTGAAGATGTGACAGCTATCTGCTGTCCTGATTTCAATGGGGAGCTCATTCCACCATTTTGGAGCCAGGATAGCAAACCCACGTGTTTTTGCTGATGGGAACTTGGGTCCCCCTCGCAGTGCGGGTGTAGCGAGCCATTTGGCCGATGCAGAGCGGAGTGCACGTGCTGGGGTGTACAGTTTAACCATGTCCTGGATGTAGGAAGGGCCATGGACTGTTTGCCGGAGCGCATAAAGCAGACCATTCACGCGATAGCGGATGCCATCGTGCTCGCGGACGGATTAAAACAATTAAACCTAAATGGCTCGCGAATTATACTTTGGCCGTTAATATACCTGGGCGGCCCGTCCAAGTAAAGTCTGTGTGTGGGAAACCCTGCTATCTTACCAGTTCTTATGCAACTCACAAATATCTCTCTCTTCTCTCTTCGCACCAGTTATGTGCAGCCCTGAGTATAAGGCACATTGGTACTGGCTGCTGGAAGAATCAACATATATATTGATGTGTCCATTCATTCTAAGTTCTATCTTTGAAACTCCTCGATTGGACTTGATGGTTTATTTCCGCGACATAATGACATAATGATCTTACACTTTCGCTTCTATTGGCCAGTACTCCAACACATTGTACATACTGTAATAGGCTAAGGGGCGGGACGACGCGGTCAACCAATCATAACAGAGCCGGCCGGATAACCAATCAGAGCATACTGGGCTCTGGTTTCAGACAGAGGGTGAAAAGAGGTGCTGCAGCACAGGCAGTATGAGAAAAATAAAGAGCTTTTGGAACATTAAAGCATGGAGACATGTCACAGTAGAGGCACATAATACAAATTTGAACGCATAACAGGGCCCCTTTAATGTCGCTGAGCTAAGAAGTTTCTGTTCATGCTGTGCCTTTTTGAGTGAATCAGCATTCAAAGTGTTTAGAAAGAAATGTTTAACTTGCATGAGTTTTGGGTGGCTCATGTAAAATGTATTGCTCCCCACAAGGAAACATTTCAAACAAGTGGAAACTATTCCAAAAGAGTCTGTCGAGGTCATTCCTACGGAAATGGACCGGGACCAAATCATCTGTCAAGCAGCCAAGAATTAATGTACCAACTTAAGAACAGACATTATAGTAACACCAAAAAAAAGAATTCTGATCAGCAAGATACACAAATGTAAAAATAATGTAATAATTCACTAGACTACACCAGTCCAATTATTTACAAGAGAATAATAATAAGGACTCTCTTCTACTTGGAGGAAGGGTAAGTCTGAGAAACCTTCCCAGGTGGAAAATGTGCATAAAATGTTTACAACACACTGGTGTGCAATAACACTTCTTATGTGATATATGTAATATTTTATAGTTTATTTGTGTTGTTACTGCAACTCCACTACCTTGACACTACTGTTAAAGAAACATCAGTGTTATGTGCAATGTACACTTTTTATTCAATTTTGTAATGTTCTTACTGGCTGCTACTTTAGCTTATGTTCACTTACTATTTTTACCATGGATGTGTACTTATTTGAATCTATTTTATTAACATGAGTTGCCTCTATATTTACTTGTGTTCAATAATGATAGTCTACTTACTCTTTGTCTTCATATCTTAGCCCTCCCTTTAATGTAACACTGTAAATGTACCAGCTGTACGACTACTAAAGCATTTCTTATAAATATCTTCAAATATCCTCTTCCTCTCTAATAATGGTAAGTTTAAGGGTCATTTTATAATCCAATAATACTTGATTACCTCAGCGCCTATCATTTATATGATGGGATGTATCCGCAGCCCACTCATGTCTACAAAGAGAGTTGGTTCGTTTTTTTATTAACTGAAACATAGGGACATGTCCCATTAACTGAAATATAGCACTGGTGAAACTCTGGGGTTTTAGAGACTGATTGTGTTTGCAGACTCTGTAGGCAGATGAGTGTGCGGACCTGTAGTCTGAATCTAATTTGAGCACATAGGTGCATCAATCAGGGGCAGGAATCCTGATTCACCTCCTCTTCATTGAAGCCCTATCTTGTCATTTAGACTAATTAGGTTGGCTGTTTCAATTTCTAATATTTTCTGAAAGAAATTGTAAAAAATGTTGTACTGTTTCATAACACTGCAATATGAGAGCTGTGACGGAGTACTGACGAGAGAGGAACGATGATGAGGAAGGGCCCATTGATCCTCTTGTGCTCCATCAGGTAGGTGATAAGGCCAATGGTTTGGATTGTTTTGCCGAGGCCCATTTCATCAGCCAGGATGCCGTTTAGATTGTTGTTGTACAAAGACACCATCCACTCCAGCCCCTGGACCTGAAAACATACAGAGAAATAGAGGTATGCCTAAAAATATGCTTGCAGAGAAATATCATTCACGCTGCTTGATTTGAAAGTTTTATGTCTTTAAGACCAGAATACATTATTATCAGAATCAAATTCAAGACATTTCGATTGGTTTGTATTTGTACATAAACAAACACAGTACGGAAAATAAGCTGTAAAAAAGGAGCCAAAAAAGGACAAGCTATAGAACTTTTTTAAAATACTAAAACATTTAAAAAATAAAGAGGTATGTTTACAAGCAATATAAATAAACAAAACACTAAATTAAAGTATAAAAAGAGAAGGTAAAGAACCTTGTTAAACACAGGCATGACAATCTGAATACTAAAATGACTCAGATGGGTCATATGCAAATGCCCTCTTGTTAAATCTCTCCTGTTAGCTGTGACAGCTGTAAAAATAGTGTAGCAACTAAAACATATCTTTGTTATTGATAAACCTGCTGATTATTTTCAGTTTAAATTGTTTAGTCATGATCAGAAAATAATGACTAGTGCCTATTTGCTAGTTTCCAAAGCTGAGGGTGGTCTCTTTAAATAGCTTTTTTGGCGACACTGTTAATCCTTACAATTGCCATACCTATATAAAAAGATATATTTATACATTTTCTTTTTCAAAATACCAAACAGATCATGCATTTTAGCCATGCCTCATTTCGCTCTATTTTGCTCTCCTCCACCCTGTCTTTGCATGCGCTGCAGCTGACCACACCCCCCTGCAAAGGAGGGGGCCGAGTTACGAGTGTCATGTTACCATGCTGTTACCATGCCACGGCAACCTCACATTCCCCTGATTGGTGGAGAGTTGGCCATATAGGCGGAGCTCCTCGTCACTGACGTCAGACTATTTTCAAATCTGTATCAGATCCGTTAAAGCCCCGTTTTTACAGATGTTGGGTATGGAGGAAAAGAGAGAGGGTTGTGTTTTCTGACACTTGGTGAGCTCCCTGACACACCGGGGACACATATCCATGTATAAAAGACGTACAAAGGTGCATTTTGCCTGATAGGTCACCTTTAAAGAAGTTTATATAATGGATGTCAGATTAAGTTTTGCAAAATGCACTTTGATCTCATCGTCTCTTTGGCATTTTATATCCCAAGTGATTCAAGCGTGGAGGCAAAATATCAACTGTTTTACCAATTATATGTCTCGCCTAGGGCGAAAAATCAGCAAAAAGACAGAACTGAGGAAAGGGAAGGGCGCGAGGGCACCGGCAGCCAGAAAGGGGAAGACAACCAATTATCCACCGCATTACCAGAAAGCCTGACAGCAGATCTAATTGCACAGAAAAAAAGGCAGATAAAGGGTAACATTTATAAGGAATAAAATACTAAATTCAGGTGTGTTACACAGACCGCTGTTCGCACCACGGGCTTTCATCGTTGTCCATAATTTTGACGGACAGGGTCGTAAAATGTCTCTTGTAATCTTTTATTACGCGTCATTTTCACTTAAATCTTTGTATGGTGGTGAAAGTAAAACATATTTAATAGCATATCACTTTTTTTTTAAATAATCGATATAAAAAGGACATGGTCCAACCTGTTAAGCCCCAAGCCTGTTTTTCAGGTCTCAGGCTCGAAAATGACACCTCCAGAACAAATTACCATAACTACACTTCTAAAAGGGGAAAATTAATAGTCTTTTTTCTCAAAGCAATGATAAACCTGTGAGTTGGATGTAGAAAGTCAGAATCAATATAGATGTTTTTTCTTTTAAATACAATTCAGATTGATATAATAAGTACCCTGTATCAAGATTGATGCAAAACAAGTAACATTTGACCTTTTTAGAGAGGTTTAGCAAAAAAAACTCCACCTCTGGGGTAGGGCTGCAACAAACGACTAATTTGATAATTGATTAATCTATCGATTAATGAAACGATTAATCGACTATTCGGACTACTATGCCTTGCACAATTTCTCAAACGCTCTTATTTAGCCATCAACTTTTAGATTTAGCTTGAGGTTGTTTTAGGCATGTGGAAACTAACAATGAAGACAATAAAGATGAATACTTGATTCAAAAATACATATATTATTAAATTAACAAAAATCATTTTGAACAAAATAACCATTGGTTTTTATTTAAATAAAATAAATAATATTTCACATCAAAAGAAACGACAGTGTTTTAACAAATCGTATTAAATAATGTGATGACAGAATTGTAAACAGAATAGCTGAAACTTTAACAAAATAAAGAGTAACTCAGTTACCTCTAATCATTAACCCATGTTTGTATAATTGAGTTAACTCCGTGTGTTGCTGCTAGCATACATAACACGTGACGTGGAAAAGTTACTCGTGGATGGGGCTACAGAGCTGCTAGAAAGACATTCGAACACGGTGCATTCCTCCGTCTGAATGTGGTGCACTTTTGCAAGATGTTTAGACAAATTGCTCGTGTTACCGCCCTTACATGCTAAACTCTTATTGCACTTTTGGCCAGGGCCGGCCCTGACCAATTTGCTGCCCTAGGCAAGATTTTAGCTGGTGCCCCCCACCCCCAAATGCAGACACTCACTATGACTCGCGCGTGCACGGTTGTGGCATGACCACCTAAACTTAAAGATATGGACACAAGATGTGTGCAACTGTATTTAGTTTCCTATCCATTTGAACATGATTTAAGTGGGACCTCACCTCCTCTAGGGGGGGACCCACGGGAAGACTTTTTTTTTAATATTGAAGTTAAAAGCATCAATCTGGTGCACTTTGAGAGCAACATTAGGAAATCTATGGATACAACTCTCAACACCCATATGAAACAGAATGGTAAACAGATTTTCTTTTTGGATATTTTACAAATCACTCCCCTTTCAAACTGTATTCTTGTTTATTAATAACAACTTTTTTGCACTGTCATATAGTATTTTATACCTGTTTTTCACCTATTCTCTTATTTTTTTAGAACTATAATGATCATATAAAGGTGTGCCTTTACCTCATTGAGCTGAGGTTATCAGAGCCGCTCAGTCTTTCAGGANCCCTCCCCTCCCTGAATCTTGCACGAACTCTTCCCGCCCTTTTGACGTCCGTGCCGACGTCACGTCCTCACCTTCGTCTTCGGCGACCTTTGTGTGTGCCGAGAATTAATTTTGCGGCCACGCGCTAGCTGCCAGAGCATGTGAGAAAACTAAACGAGAAGCATGGCTGCAAGTGGGAGTGCAACTGCCGCTGCGCCTCGGCTTGTTGACAAAAAAGACGCCAGAAGCGAAATTTGGAAGTATTTGAGCTATATCTCTGACAGTGAGGGCAAGCCTATGGACACCACGAGGCCTGTCTGTGAGAAATGTTTTAGATCCCTGCAAACCAAGGGAGCCAACACATCAAACTTGGCTAAGCACCCGCCGACCGGCATCCAGAGCTGTTTAAAGAATTTAAAGACAGACAGGTTAGCGAATGTGGTAGATAACATAATGACATCATGCTCAAGCCCATGCCCTCAAAGCTAAGTCAAACAAGTGTAATTTATTTTGTGACAAACGAACGTTTTCGTAGTTTGACGAGGCAATTAATGGCAATGATAACTGTCTAATATGGCTATCTTTTACCAATGTGGCTAACATCTGCAATATACATTTTGTCAATAATTATTTATATTACTGTCACCTCGGCTTGTTGACAAAAAAGACGCAAGAAGCGACATTTTGATGTATTTTAGCTATATCTCTGACAGTGAGGGCAAGCCTGTCACGAGGCCTGTCTGTGAGAAATGAATTAATTTTATTTAATACGAATTATTGTCATTTATTTTGTTTATTGTTCTCATTGTTTCAAAGTTTGTGTTATGGTTCTGGTGTGAAATAAAGCACAATAATTACATTTAAGACTGTTTCCCTTTTTTTAAGAAAAGTATCGAAAAAGAATCGGAATCGCAATTCTTGACTTGGTATCGGTATCGAAAGCAAAATGTTGGTATCGTGACAGCACTATTGCAGACCACTTTTTTATTATCAAGGATTCTCGCGGACCACCTCATATGCAAACCCTAAAAATAAGTACATATATAAACGTAGTGCCAGATTTCAAGATTGACGGCGAAGATTAGCTGGTTTTAGGCTCTCGTTAGCCAGTGTCTCGTAGCACAGAACCCATACTGGCAAAGGCTCATCTTCAGTGCCTATGTAGGTAAATCCCAGTTCCAAGTAGTTTGTATTTTCTCTTAATCTTCTCTTTCTTTGTTTTTTTCTGCTGAATCTGTCTTGTAGATGCCTCCGACTCACTGTCATTATCTTCATTAACAATAACGTTAACCTCTTTTCTCTTCAGAGAACCTGATGCTAGCCACCGATCCATGTTTGTGGTTTTGCACGCGCACACGTAACGATGGGTAACCAGTGGTGAAATGAAGTGTTGTCCATAATTAACGATAACAAATATCTGCGTTTTAACACTACGTTTATATACCGGTATGTACTTATTTTTACAGTTTGCATATCCGCGGACCACAGTTTGAGAACCGCTGACCTACATAAACACATAACCCTACATGATTCTTGATCATTCCATTGGAGAGCTCTTCTTTGCTCTTAATGGAGTAATGGAGGGAAGGTTGGCATTTTAGAGTAAGTCCTAATCCTGGAAATGAGTTACGAATCTATTACTTTCAGGTTCCTTTGTCTCTAAGTCAATGTTTTTTTAATGCTTGTTTTAAAAATTGTTAATTGGATGCCTGAAAAAATGGCTGTGGTTAATACAAGCTTACAAGATTTTCACGTTTTGTCCTACGATATAAAATACGTTAGTAAATACCCCTCTAGTAGTGTCTGAAGATTTGACTTTGCTTAAAAAAGGTGATTGCTAACCAGGGCCTACATGAGGCTACTAAACGTCATCACATTATTAGCCACTGTTAGCTTAGCAATGGTGAGGCAAAGTTATGAAACTTAGCTGTTTATTTCCGGCAAACAAGTATCAAAAACGTGTTTGCCACCGAGTTATTTTCTGAGATCCATATGATATGTCAGCTAATTGCTTGTATTTCATGTTTCGAAGGTGGATGGAGACGGTGAGGGCACCAGCGCTATTGGACCTGATGGAGAGGTGAGCTGCAGAGCTTTAAGTTGTTATTTGTTGCTTTGTTATTGTATTTCTTTTGACATTTTTGGTCATAAAATACTGTGTACCCGCTTGTTTGAATCTGCTATTATCTTATTCTAATAACCAGGTAAAACATGTGATGATGTAGAAGATTTTGTTGATCTGCATCTCCACTTTAACAAAGCTTTTTAAATCGAGCCCACAACTTGACTTTTTTGTTTCGCTCTTACAGCTTTCATAGCATTTTGGGCAGTAGCAGAAAACAGTTTTCATTGTGAAACTTCTGAAAAACCTTGTTTTCACAACCTGCTCAGCATTAAACAGCAGATGGACTCAGTAACACAACTAGCTGGTAGACAGGAGTGTTTAGCAGAAAAGGAGCCGGATACTCCTGTGGAAATTGGTGGTGACCAAAATTGAGCTAAAAGCTATTGAATAGTTGTCTTTTATTCATCAGATGGACATAACTCTAAATGACTACTCATGTTGTGCTGGATGTGTAAACATGCTACTGTTTAGTCACAAGTTCAACATAATAGCATAAAACAATAGTTTAAATGTCCCCCCTTAATTATAAGAAGACAGAACAGTAAGAAGGTCATTCAAACAGCATTTTGAATCTCACATTCCTACCTGATTCATTGATGGATCTCTTGAGGATATATAACTATCGCGGTAATCTCCTGGTGATATTTACTGCTCTGCTGCTTACTGAGAAGGTTATTACGGCTGCGGAAACCAAACCCGCACTTGACTTCAGCATTCTAAATGTGCTCTGGCAGAAATGAAAAGAGAAATCATATCAAATAATAATAACCCTTTCAAAGGCTGTCTGAACCCTAGTTGATGGTACTTTCAAAGAAAATCCACCTCTTGTAAATAATGCAACAAATAAACTCCATTGTTTATTCTCCCTTACAGCCTGCCTCAGATTTTAATTGAGCTACCTTTGTCTCCTGTTAGGAATAGATACGCTAAAGTTTAAAAACACTCATTAAATCCCTCAGTGGTTGAAATCCTAAATGTTGCATGCTAATGAATCATGATATCATATTAACACTCCTTGCAGCATTTCAAACAAGAATAAGTGAGTTAGGAACAGAACTGAAAACACGGGAAATGTCCAGATCAATTCATCATCACCACGGCAACTTGCTGAAATTATGAAATGCATGATTAACAAATGCCAATTTTCAATAATAACGAGCATTTATGTACATTGATTTAAGTGAGTTCAATGCTCACACGCAAGGCAACCCAGCAAATATAGACCCAGTGCCTTAAGCTAGAAGAAGAAGGGGAAGAGCGCAGAGCAAATGTTTGATAAAGACATGAGGAAAATAGATGTCTGGGGTTTTGTCAAATGGCAAAACCTTTACATTTAAAAGAGTTGCTTATTCTGATTATTGTTTTATAACTTTTAGTTCCTCTTTTCAGGGAAACAACAGGGGGCAATGTTCTCCTACTTCCTCTATTGTCGATCTGACCATCCAATATTTACATCAAGTTATAAATTGCTTATACAAAATGTTTGTTAGCATATGCATCCATGCAAACAGCAAAAGATCAGCAGCTATGAAATAAAGAGTTCACCTCCATTTGTTGAGATAATGTAGTTTATTGCTCGTATGTCTGGATGACTGAGACGTTCAATTAATTATGCTAAACCCTAACATCTTACATGCTTTAGAGAACACAAGTATGTTTTGAAAATTGAAGGGTTCTGTTAAATTTCTAAAAACATTGTTTACAACCTTGTGGTTTGTTGTTCCTGCAGCCCATGGACGAGAGCAGCCAGACGAGTGAGCTGCCGGTCAAAGTCATTCAAACGGAGACCGGGAAAGTTTTGCAGGGAACTGATGCTCCCAAATCCGGCCAGCTGGAGGCCTGGCTCGAGATGAACCCTGGGTGAGGAAGAAGCACTCTCTACTGTTGTCAACCTCTGACAAATAAAAGGGATGTTAGAAGGGATGTAAGAAATTCACTTTTGTCAGCCAATCCCCAACACCGATGTTTAGAATAACAATGTGGCAAATGCCGATACTGATCTTCTCTGGTGATCTTTCAGGGAAACAAATACATCTTTAATCAAGATATTATTATACTGCGGGCTGCTGTATAGCTCAAATGGTAGATGTGGCGTGTACTCGGGCTCGGCCCCCATGCGTAGGACCATTTGCCGTGTGTTTCCCCCTTTCATCACTGACACTTTAATAAAGGCACTGGTTGCCTATAACATTTTTTTTAAATGAACCGCCTTTCAGTTCTTCATCACACTAACTTTGAATGAGCACAAATGAGGTTCTTACATTTTAAAGTCATATATAGTATGTCAAGGATTCAACACCCTAAATAAAGTAAGAAAGCCCGTTTCCTGGCAGGTTTAGATTGCTGCTTGGTAATTCTGCCGTGTTCATTATTTTGATGTGTGCCTGACAGAAAATAAATATAGTAACTCTACTTTCTTTTTCCATTGTTTTTCCTCCTCTATATATCAGGTATGAGGTGGCCCCGCGGTCGGACAGTGAGGAGAGCAGCTCAGAGTTTGAGGAGGAGGTCAGTCACTTTCTCATTAGTGAGATCCCACAGAGGATGATGTCAGATCAGCATCACTCTGCTGCCCTGATTCAAATCATTCAAACCTTATTAATAAGCATTTCAGCCACTTCACAGTCAGAACAACTGCACACACACTGAACACACATCAACATCCACCAGGGGGCTGTAGCTGTATGCACTTCAGTAATCATCTTCAGAGCTACTTCCGTCTCTGCTGTTGTTAATATATTAAGTGTTCCCTCATGTCATGTTTTATCATACAAGGATGAAGAGGAGGGGGCCAAAGCTGAAAGAAAAGAAGAAATTGAAGAAAGGAAGATAATCGATCCTAGTGGAATTGAGGAGTTTGTCGCTGATCCCACGGATATTATTCTGTAATGTATTATGGTTACTATACATCACACTTTGTCAGATTTACTGCAGAGCACATTTTTCCTCTATCAGCTGCAAACAGAAGTCCAATCTTTAGCTTAAACATTTGTTTTTGTTTTTACCAAGTGGAATTATTAATAAATATATTAATAATAATAATATGATTTAATAAGAAGAAGCAATAACAATAATGACGAGGATGCAATTATTTGTATTCTTATTGTTATTATTAATAATTAGAATACACATTTTATATATTTATTGTGCTTTTCTAGGTATTCCAAGACACTTTACAAAAACACTTCATTCAAGTTTTATACAACAAATATGAATCAAAAATATAAACAAACAAACAAACAATAATAAAAAAGAAAACAATATGTAATTGAATCTAATTAGAGAAAATATAAATTAAAATCAAAGTAAACATTAAAAGATCGATTTTTTTTACAAAACCAATAACAGTCTTCGGATATTCCCAACGGGTGCTTAGGAGGGAAGAGGTCCAAATACTAGACACCGAGATGAGGGAAAGACACCCGCTTTCCTTTTTTTGATTCTCTTCTCTTTTACATGACACATTCAGGTCGGCCATTCAGGTGGACGATGAGTACAGTGTTCCTACCGGACAAACCAGCACCGCGTCTTACTACGGTGCCGCCCACGCTGTCATTGAGAGGGTGGAGAAGCAGTCAACGCTGCTGATCAACGGCACACTCAAACATTACCAGGTACACACACACACACACATACACACACACACACACACACACACACATATTTTGGCGTGCAACGATTATTAAAACAACATAATCGAAATAAAACGATTATTTTTTTATTTTTTGTATTAATTAATTTTTTTTGTTTTGGTTTTTCAGTTTTCAGTAATCAACTGTTAAAAACTGTTCACATGTTTTTTTTCAATAAATTGATGTTTCCAAAGTAAATAGATAATCGTTTTTAATAATCGTGATATCAATTATTGACCCAAATAATCGAGATTATGATTTTTGCCATAATCGAGCAGCGGCACATTTTTCTGGCAGAAATACGCGACGTGGACACACCTCCTAAAGTTGCATACAATCCCAAATACTCAGGTAAATCTCAAGTACTTTGATATACTTCAGTACTTCAGTAAATGTTCAGTAAGGACTCTGGTAAGAGCCGAGGGGGGGGTCTCTGTATGTACGTACATAACAACTGGTGTTATAACGGCATCATCATTGACCATCACTGCTCTCCTGACCTGAAGTTCATGTCAGTTAAATGCCGCCCGTTCTTTCTACCTAGAGAGCTAACTGTAGTGATTGTCACGGCTGTGTATACACACACACACACACACACACACACACACACACACACACACACACACACACACACACACACACACACACACACACTTTGATTTCGTTACTGCTTTTGGTTATTTTCAATTTTCAATATAAACCTGCAATTTTTTTTAAATGAGATTCTGATTGAATTGTTACCATCTTTCTGCAAAACAACTTTTTTAATAAAAGAAGTAAAGACATCCACATTTTATATTTCACTTATTACTTCGCTTTATATCAAAAAGTAATTTGTAATCTTTGCCAAAATCTTAAAGGTTCAACATTGTTAATTTTTTCAACAGAAATGATCAGAATGAAATGTAAGTTTTAGCCTCTGAAAGCTACACAGACATTGCATGGGAGTAAATACATGTAAAATAAAACAATAAACACAATAAAACTTAAACAGTATACTTATATAAATATCACCTATTTTCTTAGAACTAAACCACTAGACTCATCAGTTAGGTATTATAAAAGTGCAACTGAATTTGACATGGCAGCTGATGTGAATGTAAGAAATACTAAAATATGAATTACAGTTCAGTAAAACACATGTCATTTTTAGAGAAAGAATCACTGTAATCTTTCAGTATCATGTGCATAAACAGTAGTTAAATTATGCCACAATGTCAAACTGAGTTCAGTGTTTTTGGAAGTGTTTTTTTAATCAGTAGGGAAGCGCAAAGGCTTCTCTTGTAATTAAAACTGTGTTCAACCTCAGCAGAAGGACATTTTTGAGACTCAATCCATTCTTGAACAGTTAGTCTTTGTCTTCGCTGCCAAGAGACTCCAACACCAGACAAGTCTGATTTGTTTTGATCAGCTTGCGAGTTTAAACTTTTTTTTCCGCTCTTTTTAACTTAAACTGTTTGTTATTTGTAAGCCTAGGGCCAGCTGCTGCGAAGGCTCGGTGACCTCTATTTTTTAGCCTGGTCTTGGGCACTACCAGCAGCAGCTGGTCAGCCGACCTTAATGCTCTGGCTCGGGTGTAGTGATGGAGGAGTTCTGCTATATAGGCCGGAGCCAGCCCATTTAGTGCTTTAAAAACAAATAAAAGGAGTTTAAAATCAATTCGGAACCTAATAGGAAGCCAGTGCAATGAATAAATGCTTAATCTGCTTTCATGGTTAAAGTAGTAGAAAAATGCAGAATGTGCAGGGATGACTTATTTTTGTAGGCCGAACCATAAGTCAGCATTGCAAGGGCAATTGCATTTTTCTGACCTATTGCAGAAAATAACATCTGTTGCAAACACACGTTTCATATCAACACTATTTTGATTGAAGCTTAAGGGTCAACGCAATCGGCAGGTGTAAAAAGCTAACGCTAGGCTATAAACAGACTACCTCAAGCACAACAACCGCTAAGCTAAAGGCTGCGAATGTTTGGCATGATATCTTTAGAGGGTCTCATTTAATCACTTGTAGCATCTTGTTTTTTTAAGACTATTAAAAGCTTGAGACATTCACCAGTGGGATGTTTTCTGATGTATTGTATCTATTAAAACATTCGTAACTTTGTGTTAACCACAGACCTTTTTTTCGGGGACCCAACTAAACTTTGACTTGAACTTGACTTTGAGAAGAGGGAGCCTGGAAAGGCTAAAATGCTAGCTTATTCCCTGTTGTAGGACTCATTCCAGCACCGCTCTATTCTCACCAACAATCAGGAAGCTTCAAATTTTTAAAAACCATTCTCAAAGCAAGCTAACGTCAGCACAACATTGTCATCACCAATGATTGCCTTCTATTTTTTGTATTCCTAACACTGATTCTGTTTGATATTCCAAACTGATGGATTTTAATTTTTGTGTTTTGCGTACCGTGTCTGTTTGTTTGTTTGTCGATCTGCCACAGGCAATGGATGCAAATCAGCTTCTAGCTATCTCTGGTGTAATTACTTTTAATGCCCCTGCAAATACATAGAAAGAATAATAAAAAATGATGATACACAATTAAACAAGACTTTCAGGCACATAAAATAGTTATTTGTAGCTGTAGTTTTCCTATTCCGTTGTGAATGATGGCGGACACAATCCTTTTTCTGTGCAAAAGAAAAAAGTTAGAATTCTTGGTCGAAAGTTCCTTTGTTTTTTACGAATACCCGCCAGAGCGAGAGAGTTTTTATCTATCAATTTTCTGCTGATAGACTAATTGATCACTTATCTCATACATATATATTTTGTATGTATTTTACATGATGTATAAATACATCTGCTAAATCATCTCATTCTCTTTTAGAGACAGTTGTTCGTAACTCGTAACAATGCACCTACATTGTTTTTCAGTGAGACTTCATAATCCTGCCTCTAATGCAGTTAAATCCTTCGTTGCTGGACATTTCGAGGATGCACCAGTGTATCCTCTGCGGTCTTAAAATCCCCAAAATGCTTTGAGCACGGACCAATTTCCCAAATCTTTGGCGGAAAATTGAAGGCGGGTTCTCGCATATGACGCACACCTGCACACTTGCTACCTGTCCCATTCTTCGTTCTCCGAATGAGAGGAAGGATTCTTGCCTAGCCTCTGAAAGACCTGACTCGGAGGGACATGTCCTACCAAGGAAGCGTCCTCGACATTGAGAAACACCCAGTGAAAGTGGATGGCAGTGAAAGATGGCGTATTACAAGAGATAGGGAACTGGCAATTGGAGGCAGCTAACATTTCCTTTCTTCCAATCCTGGTAATCCTCTGATTTATGGCCTGGCAGGCTTTAAATGAGATCTTGTGGCAGCTCTTTGGGGAGCAACGTCTGCTGTTTAATAATTTGACAAATCGTCGGCTGTGAGACCAGAGGTTGAGTTAACCGGAATACTTTAATGACGAAAAAAATCTGATGGTCGTCTGTCATTTAAGCAGGTTGAAACAATGAGGGCGATCCATTGTAGCTTTAAGTAATTTATAGCACGTTAAAGACTTTGGAGCCTCCTTTCTCCTTTTCCCTCCTCTTTATGACGCAAGTGCTTGCAGGATTGGGAAATAAAAACCCATGTTCCGAGAGTGTGGGCAACTTTTGATCACTCACCTGGGAGAAATGTTCCCCGACTTCATGACTTTGTCTGAAGCGGCCCTGATTGGTAATTCCTGTCACCAGTTTGACAGCAGGCTCAGTCTTTTACATTAAATGAAACCGAGAAGTGGTTTGTCTAAGGAAATACGCAAAATCTTACTTAGTAAAATGTACTTGTTCATATTGGCCTTTGAAGCAAAATGGCTTCAGATTCTTTACTGTCAATGCAGGAATAATTATTAATTTGCTTCTTGTGTGTTAAAGAGGCCCCATCATGCTTTTTTGAGGTGTCCCCTTTCTTGTACTGCGTTATATATGTTTTTTGGTGCATATAAAAGGTCTGCAGAGGCTAAAATCCCAAAGTTCCCTCCAGAGGGAGTGTCTGGGAGAGAAACTCCCTCTGCCTGAAACTCTTCAATTGGACTCCGTTGTTTACTTCTGTAAAGCATCATCACTATGTAACATTCATGCTCTTATTTGCTAGGGCTCCAACACATTGTACGTGATAGACTAAAGGGCCACTCTAAGCAGTTGATCAAAACCGAGACGGCCAGCTAACCAATCAGAGCAGACTGGGCTCTGGTTTCAGACAGAGGGTGAAAAGAGGTGCTGCAGAACAGAACAGGTTGTTACTAATAAACAAGAATACAGTTTGAAAGGGGAGTGATTTGTAAAATATCCATAAAGAAAAAGAAAATCTGTTTACAGTTCTGTTTCATATGGGTATTGAGAGATGTATCCATAGATTTCCTAATGTTGCTCTCAAAGTGCACAAGATTGATGCTTTTAACTTCAATATTAAAANCTTGCTCACTGGCCGTGGCAATTAGCTAACCAACATGTCCCATTTTATTAAATGCCAAAACTGCTTCTGAATGAGAAGAAGACTGATTTGAGAGGCTAATCAAGATTAGCCTCTCAAATCAGTCTTCTTCTCATTCAGAAGCAGTTTTGGCATTTAATAAAATGGGACATGTTGGTTAGCTAATTGCCACGGCCAGTGAGCAAGTTAACAAGCTAGGTAAACATCAGGGCGTTAGCATAGAGCTAGCGATATCATCGAGTTAGCGTTAGCATAGAGCTAGCTAGCAGCTAGACCCTGAGTGGTAAGAACAAGAGAAGACAACGTAAAACGAATATTATTGAAAATTGTAATAACCGTTCTAAAATCAGTAGCTATCTATCTTTACCTTAGTCACTCGCGCTGACTGAACTCAATGGCGTTTTTGGAACGTTTTGGCTAACACAGCTGCAACTCATGCATCCGATTTCCCGCTTATGGTTATGGCTGCATGCAAATTACACATGACATTGCGCAATGTAATACTAGTGAGAGTCATACCAGCAAAAGCCTCCACACCAGCCTTGACACATTTCGAGTCACACCCTACGTGACGTTTATACATACTTGTCATACAAAAATGATCAGCATAAATAATTGAATATACCTGGTCCAT